CATCCATCCATCCATCCATCCATCCATCCATCCATCCATCCACTGTTGTAGATTTTTTTCCTTTTGTTTTAATCATTTATTACTTTAGAGCTAATTTGGCATTGAGGCAGCTAACATACATATTCAATAAATAAATGGTAGTTCCAAACTTGGATAGACATAGACTTTACAGCATGGAAAGGTCCTCCATGAATTCTTCACTACTTTGAGGCATTTGTAGTTTCTCTGTATCTCCATTGCCTCTCCTTTGGCCCAATCCCTCCAAACATAGTTGCCAAAAATTGGTAGCTTCATTTCCTGTGTTTCTGAGGTAAGAAACATAAAAGAACAGAATGAAGAAAAGGTCTAAGTATCCCTACTGTAAACCCTAAGAAAGGTTCTGTAATTTTTTAAAGCAAATGAACTCCCCAAATTCAGAAAAAAAACAAGGAATCCTACTCCCTCCCTCATGTGTGATATGACACATACACTTTGATTCCTGCCTCACACTTTAGGGCTCTTGCTCTTCCAAAAAAACATTAAGTCCCCCCAAACTGCGGTGTATCCTTGCTGTAAGGAGCAACAAGGGATAAAATGTATTTGTTATTCCTATTTCACTTCTGCATCCACCTGGAAGTTTATAGTAAAGTATCTGAAAACACAGTCATATGCAAATTACTTGTTAAGGAATTGTCTATCTTGGATATTTTAAAAAGTTGACAAGATTCCTTGATTTGAAGAAAGCTGTAGACAGACTTGCTTCCTAGAACAAGAACAGTATTCAACTTCATCTATAATGGTAAATAAAGTAATACTTGTAAGCATATTTGCATAATTATTTAACAGACACCCAAATCCTTGCTGTATTAATAACATGGTGATTACCCCTTTGCTCCTCCAAATAAGTTCTCCGGAATTATCACTAGAAGCAGGAATTACTCCTTTCCTTCTGCACTACAGTCCGGGCATAGCTTTCTTCCTTGAAATCACTCTGTGGCACAGTTAGGAAAGCACCAAAGATACCATTTCTGATTCTACACAACAAACCTGACCATTTCTGGTCTTTATTTATTGAATATAATAAAATGGTTGCTTAATTATTTTGCAGCTTACAGAGCAAAGAAGAGCTGATCAAATTGTCAGCATCCCGAAAGCTTCTTTGTGCAATCATTTGATACTAGTCATTGTGGGAAGAAATGTGGAAAAGCTGGCTTGTCAGGGCTCCCATTCTCTAAGAAGCTCAGCACATGCTTGTACCAAGAGGCACAGATAGAGTTTTCAGTATGTATCAGCTGATTAGTTAATATTCCCTGCCATCCACCTATGTTTCCAGTTCAGTGAAGCATAAATACCTTTTTTTTCCTCCAGCTGTTGTAGCACAAGAGAACTTGGTCTGGAAAAATGGAAGAGAAATAACATAAAATTGATAGATACATAACCACAGCAAAATAAAACCTGATAACCATTTGTATTGCTTTTTACAAACTATGTCATTTAGAATAATTATAAAAAGCTCTGATTTCTAAAACCATTTGCCCAGGGGCATGACAATTTACTTCTTTTTTAACATGGAAGTTCAGTTTGTATGAGAAAATAGCAAACATTGCTCTAAAAAAAAAACCTCTTTTCAGATGCCACATTTTTTTTTTCAAGAGTTTTTTCTCTGGCAAGAGAGCAGTTGTAAAAACTACAATTTATTTTCACAAATGCTCAACATTTAGAGCCCAAAACCTGACTATAAAGATGGTCATAACTTCTGTTAGGATGGAATTCTAACTCTCTAAGAATTAACTACCACTGGATTCCATGGAATTTATTTTTGAGCAGATGTACAGGGTTATCCTGTTAATAATATAACTAATCTTTGATTTCCCCAAAACTGATTTTTAGGACTTAACTCTTCACTTTCTAGATTTATCAATCACTCAGTAGCAAATAAGATATGGAAGATTTCTACTACAGAGTGAAAATTGCTTATAGAACCAAAATTACATTACTGAATGTTGGTGTTATCAGTCATGATTTTACACTCTGATTCCAAAATACACCCTATAGAATTCTAAGAATGAGAAAAAGATAAAAGATAAATACATTGGTTCACATATCCTGCTAAATTATAGTTGGTGTAATCATGAGTTTGTAATTAGCCACAATTGGTTGGGTACTTTTGCCATACAAACTACAGTATCTGGGCTCACATATCTAAGTTATGTTTCGATTTGAGCTTGAGTGTATTATGTGAATTGAACAATTGTATTTAAAAGACCAGAGAAAAAGCTCAGATAAACTGTGAAAAATGTAGTTGTAGTTGCTGTCATCAGCATCACCATCATCACACTACCGGACCATAATAGTCTATGAAGCAAAATGTACCAGTTTATCTGATTCCATGGTTTGCTTATTTATGGCAACAGAAGAACAAAAAAAGTTAAAATACAAAACATCCAACATAAAAACCTTATTCATACCAGAAATGAAAAATAACTGGATTTTGCTCAGATCCAGAGATTTTTAAAATCAATTGCTGTAGCACATTTTGCTACTTTTCTGGAAACTTCAGAATATTGATCATTTAATAAGAAATGCAGTGGCCTGTTTAGACCAACCAGTAGCATTTATTGTACTCCCTTCTTTTTTTTAGATGAAGAGTTCCCACAGCCTTGAAGGTTTGCCACTATTTTGTAAACCTTAACCTGTTTGAATATATCAAAGGTGTATAACTTGAGGCCCCAGGGCGACATGCAACCTGAAATACCTCAGGGACCTCCAAATGTTATATAAAGAGAACATTATTAAATTCATTCTAATGAGTAATCATAGCAAATCTATTATTTTTAGCAGAAGAAACAAAATCGAATTTAGTGGAGAAACCGGCACGTCACTCAAAGTACCCAAAATCAGAACCTGTACCTTTGTATTTGTCTCAATACAGATTTTGGAATTTCTCATGGTCAACCTGACTGCTTTTGTCAAGTTGCATTATGAACGTTTTGGGGTGAAAAAAGAAGCCCTACCTTGTTTGAAACCCCTTGTCAAGAAAATAAGTTAACACTTTTCCTTTCACAGATACAGTGGTACCTCGGGTCACGAACAGCTCCGTTCGCAAAATTTTGCCTCTGTTCGCGAACGCCGGATCGGGTGACGAACAGGATCCGCAGCCATTTTCCCTCCCGTGACACGTGGTCGTGGCTTCCTGTAGGGAGGGGTACCCCCCCTCCAAGCATTAGCCGCCTCCCCACCCGCCTTCCTGTCCTCCACGCCAGAAGTCGCGTCGAGCAAGGTTAGTGTTCTCCCTCTTCGTACTATACTTTGTTCCATATTTTTGTGGTTTTAAAAAAAAAAATTGTTCAGAACGGATTAACCGTAATTACATTGAACCTTATGGGGAAATTTGATTTGGGATGCAACCAAAATCAGGTCACGACCAAATTCGGAGGGGTCATAACGGATTAACCATATTTACATTGAACCTTATGGGAAAATTTGATTCGGGTCACAACCAATTCGGGTCGCGACCAGAGTCGCGGGACGAATTAAGATCGTGAACCGAGGTACCACTGTATCTCTTAAAATCATCATTTGTAAGGCATCTGCAGATTCAGACAACAAATGAAACACCTTTAGAAGTAACATGAAACTTTAATTTTATTCTTGTTAGACATCCAAAAGTATTATTATAAATACAAGATACATGAAGAGATTGCTATAGTCTTTATTTTATAAAGTAATATTCTGTAAATACATTTATATACACAATTTACAAACTTGTTTAGACAAATATGTTTCTACATTCTTGGAATACTCCAAGTAATTTAGAGAAAAGTATCAGATTTGTTTGATTTGGCAAAATAAAGTCAAATGAAAAGAAAGCTGTTGTTTGTTTACATATGAAAAGCATGGAATTAAGATATACCGTATTTTTCCATCGATAAGACTATGCTTTTTTCTAAAATCGTTACACTAAAAATTGAAGGGCGTCTTATGCAAGGAAGTAAGCCGAGGAGAGAACTGCGCGGTTGTGAAACTG